CTTTTGAATTTAGTTAAATTAAAATACAGTCATATAAAAAGATTAAACGAGCATAAATATATCTGATTTGAGTGATTTGTACAGTTTTTATAAATTAAAACAACCTGTAACTTGTACTGTGTATTTCAAAATTCTTATATAACGGAAACTCTGTTAACGAGAGTATACATAATATTGTGTATCTGTAGTAATATGTCATAGTTAAGACAATTAATTGCTTCATTTCTCAATATGAGAAAACTACTGTTTATTTTTATGAAATGTTAAATGTACGATCTCACTCTGGCTTTAGACGGCATTTGTCTTTCATACAATGATCTTAACAATTTCTATAATCATCTTCTTCATATGCTATTAATGTTTTAAATTTTAATAGTTATTAAATATTGGAGTATTTCTAGCTACAGAAATCTTAGTTGTTACAATAATAAAATAAACAAAATAAATGAGACAGTTGTCAATCGGATTATTAGAAATTAAAAATGTAAAAAAGATCGTAATGTTTAACAAATTTATAGGTATTTTTACAACAAAATAAGTTTTTTGTGCAAAGCACATTCTTGTAATATGTAATTGTCGATTTCCTATAGAAATCAGATTAAATGTCTCCAACAAACAACCATCTCACTGTTGAATCCACATATCACAGAGCAGTTTTCTGCTTTAAACTTTTAGTTATATTGGTTGAATAACATTGTAAGATGTCTTGTAAGATGTTTGCAGTATTAAGTACTGAGAAATATTTAATTTCTTAGACAAAAATTTGAAAAATATGTGGTTTAATTGGTGCTAAATCGGAGTTGACTTTTTACAATTGTTTACTATTAATGCGGAGTATAAAAAACTATGTACATAGGTATATTTTTGGAAATCTCACAGGCCAAATAATTTTTATCCGCACATTAACTGAACATAATGAATAAATAATCTATTCTTGTTTTAATATAAACACAGGTGGACGGGATCAAGATTAAAGTTTCATTTTTTGAGTATGCATGCAATATTTTCGTTAAACGTGTTATTGAATCAAAAATAAAATTTGATACACTTCAGACTGCAATTTTAATACAGTAATTTAATATACTCGTCGATAATATGTTAAATTTGGCAGTCCTGCTGTGTTTGTAATATATATCTTTCTATAGTTAGATAAAAAAAATTTTGCTATAGATACTTCTCTTAATGCAACAATACCTTCTATAAAAGACTCTTGGTACTCTAAATTCTTCTCATTTTCTTATAACATGATGTTTCAAATATATTTTACACAGAGAATAGTTAAAACGTTATTTTACTTTTATGTTATAGTTATAATCATTTGCCATTATATTTTATATCACATTAATAGATAAGACAAAATTTACCCGTCCACCACTTAATATATCAAGTGCCTGCAGCAATAATTTTAATCAGTATATGCAGTTACACTTTAAGTTATGCATGAAGCTAGTGTACCATTTGAAAAATGATCATTCATTCTTATATCATTTGTACAATTGTTAGAGTGGCACAATAACTTACATTGAACATATACTTTACATTTTAGATATCTTATTATATTCAAGAGGAATCCTCATAATGTACGTCATGTCTTTTTCAAGCGTCCAACGATCCATTCAAGCCCTTGATACAACCTGAAGCATTCCAAGTAATAAATTACTTTATCTTATAAATTAATAACACTGCCTGGCTTGTACAAAAATTCTATTCTTACCCCTCTCCTGTAAGTGCACAACAACTTTGTATGTGCCATTGATGTTTTTTGATTGAAGTCAAATCTAGTTGTCTAGAAATTTCAGCAGCTGTCATGCTACCTTTTAAATCTTGCTTATTAGCATAAACTAAAACATTGGCTTTACTTAATTCTTCATGATTTAGCATTGAATATAATTCTTCTCTTATTACACCAAGCCTTTCTCTATCAGTACTATCTATAACCATAATTATGAATTCTGTGTTAGTATAATAGGTAGACCATGCAGCTCGTAAACTCTGTTGTCCACCTAAATCCCACATTATGAAATGAATATTTTTCCAAACAACTTCTTCGACATTGGATCCAATAGTTGGTGATGTATGAACAACTTCATTCATTAGAAACTGGTATAATATAGTTGTTTTACCAGCATTATCTAAACCTACCATAACTATCTTATGTTCTGAAAAATAAGAAAATTTAATTATAATTACTCAAGTTTAGCAAATATGATTATCAAATTTTATAATGTAAATTATATTTATAAAAATAATTTTTCCATAGAATAAAAAAAAATATGTAGAAAACATATGTCAACATATGTTTAAAGTAGGACAATGAAAATTTTAAGAAATTTTTATAAAATGTATTAACTATAACACTCATCATAAAAAGACAAAGTATAATTCTATTTTTTAGATTATTTTTAATAGCATACACTAGATATGTAATTCTTTTTTCTTTAAACTTTCTATTTCTTATAATTACAGTTATCATTAAATTATTTACAATTTTTTTGGTTAAAGTGAAGTATTTTGTTAAAATTCTTTTTAAGTTTGTAAATACTATAAAACATAATTATGAAATCAATGTATCATTATCACTTCTCTATATCTGTGATAAATTACATTTGACAAGAAGTGTCAAAAAATGTATAAACTATTTTCTATCTTATGAATTCAATAAGTAGTAAATATACAATTCTCATACGTTTTCAATACTTAAAATCAATAATTATAATTTCCACATATTTTTACTCAGGAATACATGCCACTAATATTACTTATATGACGCGACGAACAAAGCAGTGCAATAATTGTAACAATATTGTTACTACATATGCTGCATTTACCTTCATTACCAAAGAGACTCCACAATTTTGCGAATAGTAGACCCATATTGGTCGAAACACTAAACAACCCAAATGCTAATGTTTATTTAATCGTATTTCTGTACAGTCTTATTCTCGATAAAAAAGATGTATTTGATTTCAGAAATGGAGCATTTCATTGTCATAGGGTTATGTTCACTTTTCTATCAAATTCTTCGCCAACATATTTCTGACAAATTAGCGTCATTATCGACGCACTATAACATGAGACGTGTACTTAAAAACTGTTGCAAACTATTAAAAATTCACTAATAATAATGTTAAAAGGAAAGAAATATACGAAGACCTTCCCTAATCTAATCAAGCAAATCGCGACATGTTGCTTTTCCAATTAAAACATCCATACGTCTGATGTATCCAATCATATTTTAGTAACAACTGAAAGTGATGTCAGTCTTGTATATGCGTACATTGATTGGAGGTAAGGAGTTTCTGATTAAACGCGCGTAAAACAACAATCCGTTTTGAAATCGTTAGCCCTTGTACAGAATTATCTAGCCTTCCGATTTTGCTGAATCATTATCTATTTTCTTTAACAAGAAAGGAGGAAAGTTGCAAATATTCCGAACAGTCATAAATAATGGATTATTTTGTGCAATATTCTATAAAAATACATGATAGTATTAACAATTGTAATAATTAACGTAGTACAATTGTTAACTTAATTTTTGTAATAAGTATTTTATTAAAATAACTCCATTACATAAGGTAGTATATAGTAAGTACAAAGTTCAAAATTTCAGTATCTCATTAAAAATTACAAATTTTATTCTTATAAAATATTATATG